TTAAATTTTATTCTTCCGATAAGCTGGCAGCGTATTTTCAACTCCTCTAATGTGGTATCGGTGTGGTGTGGTATCGATTCGGCGATGTCGATTGCATAACAACAGGTGACACGTCTGTTCCAATAAAATATCGTGATGAAATAATGGGACCACCGCGGCACCGGACCGAATCATTAACCACCAATTAACATAGAGGTGTGATGGTCTGACGGTCCCCATTAAAACAGCCATTCATAAAAATGATTTAAAATTACATTTGATACGAAATAAAGTGCATTTTTGCTTAAAATTTTAATTAATTCACTTCATTATGACCTTGGCTGGATTAATTATGCGTGAAGATAATTCGATATTAATCGGATTGGTTCGGGAAAGTTCGGGATTTTTGAACTGAGTGCCTTATTTTTAATGAAATAAAGCTTATGAAGGAGGTCGTTGTCGAATGACGAGGAGATGTTTATACGTTAAGTAACTTATAATTATTATCAACATGGATATTTATTAATTGAAAGGAAATTAGCGAAAATACCTGTATTAAAATACACAAACTGTTTTACGAAAATATTTCTCTTTCTTTATTTATCTAACGGGACGGTGTGAGGCACATATTGGCCTCCTTTTTTCACACCACTACACTTAAGCCACGGCCTTGTCAAGAGTGAAGGGACTGAAAAGAAGATTATTTCAATTGTAAATCTTTTCTTAAAAAGGTAGACATTTTATTGTATTCCACCCATTATCCACTGAAGTAAGGATTGCCCAGAGGTTAAAGCTCTCACTTCACATGCTAGGTTCCAAATCTGGCTAGTACCAATGTGACATTTTCAAGTTAAATGTACTTTCTATGGGGATTTAGACACAATCAGTGAAGACTTCAAACTGATATTAATTTGTTATTATAAGTTTGAAATATGCAATCCGGCTGGAGCAAGCGTCGTTACTAAAGCCCAAACCTTGTTTGTGTAAGAAGAGATCTATAAAACTTAGAAGAAACACTACCTCAAAACTCTTAACGTTTATTTTTCATTAGCGATGACATTTTATTTTAATTAAGTGCGAATGGGTAACTTTCTGCGTCTGGAGTCTGCGATTTCACCCCAAGGCTAGGGGGATGGGGTATCTACGACCCTCTCAATTCCAGACCCTCTGTCTGAGAGGGATCCGGAGCCACTTATTTAGAAAACTTATTAAGCACTAATTTGCGTTACAAGAGTACTGAGCGACATATCGATACGAGTTCGAACAAATCGATATCGTCCGCTGGCAAGCTGCTTTTCACATGAAATAGAGAAAATGGAACTACAAGCGATTATGAATCTTCTCGACACCTTTTTTAGAACAACTTAACTATGTTTTGTATAATTGAAGAACCTATAAAGAAGTAAAGTAGGTATGAAGTGCAACAAGATGAGAGCACTCCTGTTAAAATGCTTCAAGTGGTATTCGAACTAAGAGTTTTACGATAAAATGCAACGCTGCCACTTGAATATACTTATTACCTAGCTTACCTATCTGCATGGGAGAAGTTGTATTTCATGATATAAAATATATTTAATGTTTAATTATTTTTTTCTTTCAAAATATTTTCTCTTGTGTTTGTAGACAGAGACACAAAGAGTAGTGGAAATTCAACCCTCGACAGTTGTTACAAAGTTGTTAAGCGGTCGGTTGCCCAGCCACCGCATAAACTGATCAATGACGTTAACCAAAAAGGTATACCTACGATAGGACAATGTTTATCACATCGTTGTCAAAAAGCTATCCTGCATGTGTAGCTTCTTTTAAGTTTTGTTTTCCAAGACCGATTTGGTCACAATTTGTTTATAAATAGCTATAATGTATAGGGATACAAAATCTCTTTTCGGTACGGGAAACAAAAAGATCACCCTGTTTGCAAAGGGCGTAAGTGATCCTAATTAAGCAAGCTGTGGACCTTGTCGGAGCACTTCTAAACCTTGGTTAGTTCAGCAGCAGAAGATTTGTCGCAGAATCGTAGCAATCATACTAGTTTCTCAGGTCACCCGGAACAAGTAAAGCTACTTCCGTCATTTGATCTGCTATGTCTGAGTATGATATGTAGATGCGATAGTACTTACACGACCATGTTTTTAAATCGGACTTCTCCAAGTTCAGGTTGATAATAGCTAATCCGTCTTCCAATACAAGGGGCATTCCAATAGTAGTTTGCTAAATGAGTTTTAACTAAATAGGTTATTTACGGTGTTTTCTGCAGGGTACTAAAAATTAAGATTTTAATAAATATAATTTAAGTTTGGGAGAGCCAAGCTTCGGCACTAACGGGTCGGCTCGACCATATTGATACATCAGCCTCACTGGAAACCAGCGTGAACCAACCGAAGAGTGGTGTTTCGCCGTGTGAGTGACCGGAGACCCATTCTTTTCCATCCCCAATCCCTATATCTCCAAAATCGTAATCCCAACAGGTTGGCAATTGCACTCGTAACTTCTTCTAGAACACCCGAAAACTCGCTTGCCGTCCTATCGCATAAATAAAAAAAACAATTAAAACTTTTTTTGCTTTGCAATGAATTTTATTAGAAATCATTGTCCTAAATATTGAATTTGTCTGCGTTTAAATTTTTCATTACTTATAGTTAATTTGCTTCTGAAGCTTCTAGTCTGTCGTACCTGTCAAAATTCTCTCAACGTCTCTCAGATTTTTTGCTACGAACTTTCAATCTATCGAATTAAATTTTGAGTACTTACCAATTACTCGTCGTACAAGTTCTATTAGTTTCTTAGACTTCATAAGAAGTGATTGAAGAAAAATGTTTTAATGTACTTTGGTGGAATCAAAGAAAAATTAACCTTTGACTTTATACGGGTTCATATTATTATGATTGGTATTGTGGGTTCAATGAACCGATGTTGTTTACCTTGGAGATTTATTTTCTTAAGCTTCTGTGTTGTTGTGTTGCTTTGTGGGATTTGGAATTTTGGACTATTTTCTCAGTATGGGTGTAGTAGGTTAATAATATACTCATCTTGCCCTTTATTGTCTAATGAGTAGGTCGTTTTATGCATTCTCGATGTCCTAATGCACAGACGTAAATAAACTTTGTAATATCTTTCGTAAGACCGTAAAGTTGATTACTAAGTAGGGACTCATCTTTTGCACATTGATTGCAATTTTATAAATATCTACAGTAGCATATGGTCCGAAATCGTGTGTGACCATATCATTCCTATAACAAAATAACCGCCTAACGCCTCAAAATCAACATATTTCTCAAAGTGTTCTCGAAATTGTTAACGTTTTCGACGCTTTATCTTTCACTTGTATTTTTAGATCAAAATTAGCCCAATCGTTTACATTTAAGAAGTTTTCCAGCCAGACTTACGACTGCCTTCTCAGTTTCGAAATTCCCATCTTAAATTATTCGAATACTAGATTTAGCGGGTTAGGTCATTAGGCTTGGCTTTTTATTACATGACACTATTACATAACCGTTAAAAATATTTATTCAATCTTTACCTTAGGCTAAATGAAGCAAGATTACTTTGGTATGATAGTTGCGTGGGAGTTTCATTTAGGGCAACTCTCCACCAATTGTAATTGTCACGACCCCACGTGAATACAGCCCATAAAACTATCCTATTTTTGCAAATATATGTAATCCACTTTCATCGCAATCCTTATTTATCAAGGTTGAAATTTCTAATTGTTATCGTGGATAGGTTGATGTGCATGTATACCGAATCTTACTGTCGCCCGTGGGCTAGATCATGTTTCGAGATCATGATCTCAACTCTCTGATACCCTATGATGAACTTTCAACTTCCTACTTTCAATTCACATGGATGTCAGTACTTTGTTTCGTTCGTATTTACTTATAGCTACTCTCGCGCGGTTTCACCCGCTGCTTCATTTAATCGTAGCGTGATGTTTTATAGCCTATAGCACTCAGGAATATTGTAGCTATTTATCAGTCAAAGAATTTTGGCAATCCGATCAGCGGTTCCAAAGATTACCCCCTACATACAAACTTACAAATTTTACCTCTTTATAATATTAGTATAGATGTACTTTTGTTAAATTTTGTATAGTAGTTCAATGGTCGCAAGCATGCTATAGTAATATTGAGCCTTACAATTTTATTATTATTATCAAATACTGCAACAGAAGTTTTTTTATAGATGAAATCTATAAACAAAATCAATAAGAGCTTCTTGCATCTACCATTTAGTTCTGCTTTTCTCTGCATTACCCAAAGGACATACTGCTAGATAAAGGCCATTAAACCTACTTACTGTATAAAATAACTGCGTAACATTGCCTATCATGAAGCCTAAGTTTCTAAAATTGGGTTCCAAAATGAGCCTATAGGCTGGTCTTTTATTTATTATGTGGAACGAATTGTTTAAGTAGTCGATGTGTTATGAGTAAACAAATATGTCTTTTAAGTGTGTAAATTGATAAATTGTATTGGGATATTAAGTGAGTGACTCTTTTTCTTAAAAATAAAATGAGTTTTATACTTCTGTATTACTAGGGATCAAATTAGCTTTTTTTACAAAGATATGTGTGTATATGGCTAGTTGATTAAGTGTGTACTTCTTTCTGTCTCTATAAGGAGATAAAAAATGAAACTAGATCTCATTATTCATAACTCGTGTATTACTAAAACTTAAAAACAAAACAAACTTGTACTTTTCAGCGACCGAGAACGAACTTGTGTCTCGGTTGTCCTTTTAACCGATCGAACTAACATTGCAATGTCCGAAAAGTAATGATTTTTGGTTTATGTTCCACAATAAGGGGAATATTTTAAAAAATGGTAACTATTTAAAATTCAGGACATTACACGTTAATCCAATACAACTCTTATCTGCTGATCAAAATTGCATAATCTGTCAAAATTAATTGAGAAGTTTACATATTTGGCTCCACTATTTCAAAACAACGATTAGAACAATTAAAATCAGCAAAAAAGACAAATAAAAACATGTCTTTGAACAGACATAACAAAATAACTAAAGCCTCTTTTACCACTTTCTGAAGTAATACAAACGGTAAACAAATCTGTATGGAAGTTGTATACTATATGAACGCAGTTGATATTGTTTCGAGAGTGTTAAACTTAGATGTATACATGAGTGAATCGGCCATGGGATCAGGCCCATTGTCGGCCACAAACAATAGACTCAAGAGGAGGAAGTGAACTGCGTTAAAATGTATGAAACTATTACGTAAAACTCACTTCCTAAGGCGCACGCAAAGCTAAACACATTTCGCAGTCGCAATTTTGGAAAAGAAAATATTTCTGACACTCGCCGGAAAGCATTCACCTTCGCGTACGCCCCGCACTTACACAAATAAAAATATTTACAAAAATTGGTACTTGACGGTAACAAATAGTTAACAAATGACTAAAAAATATGTACAAGGAAGATTTTTACCTAATCTTAGTCCCATCCGTGGTGTTCTTCGTGATGCTCTTCGTGGTGGATTGGTACCCACACCTTCTGCCACACTGGTTTCCATACCTTCTTCCACGCTGGCACTTCAATGGACTTCCATACAGGTACCTGAACCTGCTTCCATTTCTCTACCCATATTTTCTTCTGTACTGGTACCCAGACCTCTTTCTTGACTGTCTTCCAGATTTGTACTTTCTCTTCTACCCACTCTTGTTTCTTCTCGGTGACCCACGCTTGTTTCTTCTCAGTTCTCCAGATCTGCTTCCACTCTTCTTTCCATTCTAGCTTCTTCTCAGTTACCCACACTTGTTTGTGCTCTGTCTTCCAGACCTTCTTCCATACGGGCTTCCAGATCATCTTCTTTCTCCAGAGGTCGTGGCTAGTGTATTCCCAACCGTGGTCATCCTTGCCGAGGTACTTCTCTCCGGGTACGCCTTCTTTCACCCATTCAGGGACGTGGATTTGTTTCCATTCAGGTACCTGTACTTCCTTAGTGTGAGGGACTTGGATTTCTTTCCAAACTGGTTTCCATACTTTTTTCCAGTCTGGAACCTGAACTTCCTTCCAGATGGGTACCTGCACTTCCTTCCAGATTGGTTTCTGGACTACTTTCCACGCAGGCACTTGCTCTTCTTTCCATTGTTGTACTTTTTCTGTTTTCCATGCTGGTACTTTTTCTTTTTTCCATTCAGTTTTCCAGACCAGTTTCTTTTCTGTTTTCCAGATTTGTTTCCAGTCTTCCTTCCATACGAGTTTCTTCTTCCACACTCCCTCCGGTGGTGGAGAGTGCCAACCTCCAGGGGAGCGTTTATCACGAGATAACTCAGTGTCCTTGGCCGTCTCCTGGATAGGCACGGCTAGTGATGTGGCGCATGCCAACACCACCCATATCTGGAACAAACAAAGCGGTATTTAATTACAAAATAGCTTCACTTTCCCACAATTAAGATTGAAGAGTCGTATTTAAACGGTCGATGTATTTTTACCGGTTTCACTTTTACGGAATTAATTTAAACTCTTTTATTGTGTTGCATGTGTTATGTAAGGTATCTAACTGTAAAGACTCATTTGGCATTCTATTTATATTCACAGCAAGCAATAGAAAACAATATTTAATGCTAATCATAGGTGAAAAAAATACGCACACAAAAATATTTATTAATTGCTTTGATAGCGTTTTATGTTAATGCTTTTTTATGTTATTGGTAACTTTAGAAATCGGTATTGTGCTTTCATAAGTGCGTCCGCGCATCCGACATGAATGATACTTTGTTACGTATGGACGTAGGTAAATGTTATTTAACGAGGCTCGGGTCAATTATTCGGATTACGACTATTACCAGATCACATAACGGGTCATTAAATATTTATTTTCTTATGTTTTAATTAATATTAAAATCAAATTAACAGATCGATCACTGAATATTTTTATACGCGATAATTTTGCCAATAGTTACTTTTTATTTTTTTGGACTAATATAAAATATTTACAGTTACGTTTAAATTATTAGATATCGTTATAAAATTCTAAATTCAATTTTAAAATCACCAATTCGATTTAATAAAATACTGAAATCGCGATTTTTTTATTTATACTTTCCGTCGAACACTTTTAGCGAATATTCGAGAGTCACTTGTTTTTATATTTTTGTTTTTTTTTTTTAATATCACGATAAATGGTCACTTCACACACTGCACCCACCGTAATAGTCAGCGTCCTCATTTTGGTATGATGCCCGCCGCGACTGACGATGGTGCGTCCGCGCAGGTTTTTATTAACGGGCCCCTCTCTCACTCCTGCGACCGTGATACGGCAAAGCTTAGCGTTGTAGGAGAGGGTTGGGTTTCTATCTCAAGACGAGGTGTGCGTGCAATTATTATTGTTTTGATTTTCTTATCATGCGACTAACGGCTCGCGCGAATTTTTTATTTCTTGTTCCTTCTTTTTACTTGCGAATTTTTTGTTTGTATTTATTTTTAAGTGTTTGGTTTACTTAGTGTTTTTCGGCCTACAGATGTTTTTATCTTTTTGGATTTTTTTAAGGATTTTGTTTTAAGACGATTGCAAATTATTAAGAAAACTACTCTTTAGTTTAAAAAAAATACTTTCGTGCTGTTTTCGTTTTCATTGGTCATTGTTACGCAAAAATGAACATAATTTATACAAATCACAGTTTGTAAAATAAAAAAATATTTAAGTTATTTTAGCAATAGTGAAAGTACTGTTTTTAGTTCATGAAAAATTGTTTGTTGATGGTAATTTAGTAAAGAAATCAAACGACCTTCATTGATGTGAGTCGTGACCAAATTTACTTGTGAATCATGAGATGAACACACACACACACACAGTTCATAAATATCTAGCAAAAATGTTCTTTATAATAATAGTTACAAAGATGGTTTATGTCAGTTCTCTATAATATTTATGCCAAAGACAGGGTGTGTGGTGAAGTGACATAATTAATGCTAATATGTGTAAAATTATGAAGTGTTCTGTGGAGACATTGAGTTTACAGTCGACTTACAATCGGATCGATAATGGTGTTGGTTATGTACGGTGTAGTTAAAGGCGAGGCGTGTGCAAGAATTTAGTACTTACAAAGAAAAACGCACTTTGAAAGCTATTTGTATATCTTTGTATAAGGTCTTGTTAACAATGTTATTAATTTTAGTGCCATTCAATCACAATTGATTTCAACTTTTTATCTTACAATTATATAGATACCCATTTTGGTAAAACTAAAACAACTTTTAGTATCATTTGGTCTATTTTGTTTTCTATAAACTTATGAGGGAAAATTGAGAAATAATCTTTCACATACGGCCTTATTAAAAAAAAAGTTTTTCTTTAGTCCTAAACCATTGAGCCAATTTTTGTAGGCTCAAAATTCAAAACCTGATTCAAAAGTCTAGACTACAGATACATCTTGTTTTGTAATAAGTGAGATATAGTTTAGTATGAGAACGTAAGGCGAAACCACAGCGTACAATTGAAGCTTGTAAGTTATAAGCTATCACTCAACTTAGGTTAGAATCGATGTTTCGTCGACTTATACATTTATTTCTTCTTCATCTTAATCTAGTTTCGTAAATAGTATTTGTGGTTTCAAGTTGTGCATATGTATTTTGATTTAGTTTACGATATACTTGATCTTTATTACATCATCTCTGTTGGGTTGACTGTTTAGAATTTTGATATATCTATTCTTATATTATAAAGCTGTAGAATTTGATTGTTTGAACGCGTTTAGCATGGAACAATATAATATATAATAGAACAATTCGTTTTGTGTTCGATAGTCCATTTATCGAAGGCTTTATATAGGTTATAAAAGATCACGCTACGATCAGTAGGAGCCTAGCAGAGCTGTGAGCAACTAGTGTTGTATAAAACGATACGACCACTAAAATTTAAGAAACTAGCGTACTCCTTCTTTGAAGACTGGTAACGCAACTGACTCCTCTGGTGCTTTTTTTGTCAGAGGAAAATCATCAAATTACTTCTCCCGCCCAGGGTAAGCAGAGAGAGTGTCAGACTCTTACTGTCTAAAAATGCCCCCGTTCTTTCTCCTGCTTCGGGCCGAGGCCGCAGTAACTCATTGCGCTTAACCCGCAACCCCGGCTGAACATCAGCCCTATAGGGCCTCGTCTGTGGTGGTCTATAGGCTCTTTGAGGCGCGCGCGGAACGCTACGCGCCGTACGCTCGGGTCTGGTTCTGGTCGGGTGGCAAGCTACACTTACTCGCCGTCCGCAGACCCGCGCTTACGGTGGCCGGAGATCATCTCTCGGACTCCTCTGGTGGCACTTGTCACTTACCATCTCTGGTACTGATGCAGCTTGTTTTCTTCCTATTCCATAAAACACAATAAAGTGATAACTTATATTGTTCATCCATTTAATTGTTAGTGTTTCGGTAAGTTACTGTTAGTATTGGAAGATTTGTTGAGTACAATTATTTGTGTCTTCAGTTTTCGATGCGATCCTTAGTTTGAGTAAGTTAAAGATTGATTAGGTTATTTAATTTTGTTTGTAACTCAGTATTATCACTTTGGTCGTGATTGTATTAGTGACAGGAACATTATAATTTTTTTTTGTTAGTTAACCTTTTACTATTGAATAGATCTAGTAAAGGAGATCTATGGTCCAACGTTGACCTTAATAATGACCTAGCTATAATATACGGGTCAAAAAGCAAATAGACTAAGCCAATATTTTTTATTACTACATCGTGCAAGGTGCATGTTCTTTTTATTCGTTAGTTCTGATTGATCTCCACATCAATATTTTAGATTTTAATAATTAAAGTTCGGATAAAACAAATATGTATAACGTAATATGGATCTCTATTTAATAACTTCGTATACAAGGCTCTAAGTCAAATGGCAAATGTATGAATTATTCAAGTATTTTGTAAGTAATCAGCGTAAAAATGGCTAATCGATTTTCGTCCACTTTGAATTCGCTTTCTATCACATGATTCGTTTGCAATATTGTTTTACGTAATGGTTTTAATTCATACAATCTTTAAATGTGTGTGTACCTATGTAAACTGAGGATTCTAATGTGCGAATGCTTAGTGCAACATTGGGGTGGTTCTCTTAAGGTGAGAAAATGATCACCAAACTATTTCCTGTACTGGTTGAGGCAAAAGGGAGAGTCAGACTCTTACTGACTAAAGTGGAACGGACTATCCGCCGCAACGCCTTCTCCAAGCTAGGCCGTAGTAACTTATTACACTTTACCCATAATAACATTCGGGCACGCTACTATAGCAGCGGTAAGAACCCACTTTGAGGAGTGGCTTGAGAGACGCCACGGCGTCCTCACCTTCCGCCTGACGCAGGTGCTTACCGGACACGGCAGCTTCGGTAGGTTCCTGTTTCGGATCCAGCGGGAGGAAACACCCGAGTGTCGTCATTGTGAGGACCACCTAGAGGATACGGTGGAGCATACGGTAGCGGTATGCCCTGCCTGGGCTGAGCACCGCCGTATTCTCAGGGAAGTGATCGGCGGCGGCGACCTCTCGCGCCCGGCCTTAGTCGAGGCCATGGTGCGGAGTGAGAGGAACTGGGGCGCCGTCTCCTCCTTTTGTGAAGCAGTCATGCTCGTAAAGAGAGAGGCGGCCCGCGTGAGGGAGCAATCTTCCTCCTCACGCCCCAGACGCCGCAACTGGCGTCACTACGGGCGTCGGGGATCGAGGGACGTTCTCCGGCCACCGTAAGCACGGGTCTGCGGTCGGCGAGTAAGGGTAGCTCGCCGCCCGACCAGAACCAGGCCCGAGCGTACGGCGCGTAGCGTTCCGCGCGCGCCTCAAAGAGCCAATAGACCACCACCGACGGGGCCCTAGAGGGCTGATGTTCAGCCAGGGTTGCGGGGTAAGCGCAATGAGGCACCGCGACCTCGGCACAGAGCAGGAGAAGTAGGAACAGGGGGGTTTTTAGTCAGTAAGAGTCTGACACTCCCTCCCGCCCGGCCCTGGGCGGGAGAAGACATTTGATGATTTTCCCCTCACAAAAAAACCATAATAACATTACAATGTTAATTGAAAATACTTAATTATTTTAACATAAGTTTATTTACTTTAATTTTTAAAAATCTATTACGCTTCATTGATTGTTTGTAAACATTAATTTTTTTAAAAAAAAACGTTGCCCCACACTAGCGTTTTCTAATGTGTCGTGGGTGCGTTTTAAAGCATACAATTCCACATAGACATCACACCCAGACGCGGAATAACAATTCGTTGATTACACAAAGAGTTTGTTCTATGCGCGAATCGAACGCGTGACACGCTGTCCGGCAGCTAGTTGCACAGCCACCGCGCTATTCGTGCATTCAACCGTGGTTTATTTTGTTGCGGAATGCAAGACGGTGTATGTCCACGGGCGTTCCGAACTTTAGTATTTCGATTGTAAGCTTCAGAGTTTATTGTTTGGTCCTGGAAAAACTTAAGGCCAAGCAAAATGCAGTAGACCTGTTGCTTTAAAAAATATACTCAATACCTATTTATCTTTGTTAAAACTTTCGACAATATTAATTGTCATGATTATAATTGCAAGATATTCACTGCGTGGCGAAGGCCTCACTCAAGGACTTTTAAATCGGTAGCGGCTGGCTGCGACCTTATCATTCCGTTCGATATATTGATTGGAAATATTGTAGCAGCCATCTGATTACATTTTATACTGAACGTTGATTTAAATAAAACCTTTTTTAAGATCATTAATACGTTTTTTATCATGAGTAAGGGTAGCTCACCGCCCGACCAGAACCAGACGCGCGTACGGCGTGTAGCGTTCCGCGCTCAAAGAGCCAATAGAATACTACGGACGGGGCCCTATAGGGCTGATATTCAGCTGGGGCTGTGGGGTAAGCGCAATGAGGCACCGCGACCTTGGTCTAGAGCAGGATAAGGAACGGGGGTTAGTTAGTAAGAGTCTGACACACTCTCTCTCTCTGCTTACCCTGGGCGGGAGAAGTCATTTGATGATGTTACTCTCGCCTAAAACCCATTACTGTCAGGAGTCCAAAATTATTATATCGGTATCTGTATTCTAAGCTTTGGGGGGTTCTGCTTGTCTCCTTTGTAACTGAGTATAGGTCCTCCATGTTCATGACTTCTAAGTTTAGTGGGTATAAAAAACTGAATGACTTTTCTTGCCCTGAGTAAGTGAGAGAGGGTGTCAAATTTTTACGAAAAACAACTGAATTACTTCTCCAGATTGGGATCACGGTACATTATTCCGCTTAACCCGCGGATCCGT